ATAGATGGTACCACTGAAATGCACTCTCGGGTCTATCTACTGCCAGAGACTGTCCCCTCCATGCAGGACTTTCTGGGCTTCCTCTGTCACTTTCCTTAGAGGAAACTCCAGATCCTCACTGCTTTCCTTGAACATCAGCCTTAACTCTGCCCCAACTTTCCGTTTGATCACTTCTGTTCCAGAAAAAAGAAGAAGCCATTAGATCTGACTTACCTAGAAATTCACCTGCATATATCCCTGTCCTTAATCTTATCTTCCTCAGAGGAAACCCACCTGTTTCTCTGAATCCTATAGCCTTCTTCCACACTTCTTGCCAGTCTCCTCAGTCTTGAATCACATCCATTCTGCTGCTGCTGTTTTAGCATATAAATCTGCTTTAATAATCCATACCATCCTACCAAGGTAACAGTGGTTAAGAACAGAAATCCTGAGCTTAAATCCTACCCATTCATTAGATTAAGATCCTGGGCAAGTTTACTTAAGTGTGCATCAGTTTCTTTGGGGAGGATAATTGCTCTTACCTTATTGTGAGAATAACACAATATGTATAGAATCTTATGCACAGTGCCTGTCACATAGCACTTAATAAATATTAGCTGCTGATACCATTTTTTAGATTTGTTATCTTTCTCATTTCAGTCCTTCATTCCTCTTATAGCCAGTCTCTTGGTAAGAGTAATCAGTTGCCTGCTTCCTATTTCCTTCTTAATCTGCAGTAATCTGGTTCCCTATTTCACTTAAATTATTACACTGTTTGGTTGCCAGAAGGTATACCCTTTGTCTGACTAGATCTTACCTACCATTTTTTATTACTCCCTAGTTCTTGAAACCTGTTAGATAAATGTAAATTCTTTGGCATGACCTAGCAATCAAAATTTTTACTAAAATCGAGTTGTTTTAAATATATAAACTGAATTTAATTATGTTAAAATTTATAAATATAATATAATATACTTACTAGAGAAAATTGTAGAAAATCCAGATAAATCCTTCCTATGTGGGTTATCATCATTTAAATCTTTTTTGCAATACTAAGGACTGAACCCAGGAGTACTCTACCACTGACCTACATCCTTAGCCATTTTATTTATTTTTATTTTGAAACAGGTTCTCACTAAGTTGCCTAGGCTGTCCTCAAACTTTGGATCCTGCCTCATCTTCCAGACTACCTGGGATTATAGGAATTTGCCACCACACCCAGTTTGGGCATTTAAATCTTACTGTCTGGATTCCACCCTGTATTGTGGCTCTTACCTTGATCAAGTTATGTATGTAACTTCTCTGAGCATTTCCTTTTCCCTTTTTGTAAAATAGGGATAACAACAGTACTTATCTCACAGAATTGTGAGGATCAAATAAGAGAACATTCAGAGTACAGACTTGGCACAAAATAAGTACTTAGAAAATGTTGGATAGTACCAACATTTCTCAAAACATATTTACCTTTCCTGATGCCTTAATATCTTTATAAACATCTATTACTCTCAGCCAGGCACTGTGGGGCACGCCTGGCTGAGAGTAATAGATGCAATAATCCCATTGACTCCGAAGGCTGAGGCAGGAAGATCACAACCTCAAGGCAAGCCTTAGCAACTTAGTGAGACACTATTTCAAAACAAAACAGAACAAACAAACAAAAACCATAAAGGGGGTGGTTTTATTTGGGATGTAGCTAAGTGATAAAGCACCCTGGGGTTTAGTCCCCAGTACCACAAAAAAAAAATGTTAGAAAATCTTCTAACATAGGAAAACCTTCTAGGTTATTGTAAGATGTGAATATATGTGGAGGTGATATACCACTCTTGACCCTAGTGTTTGATGGCTGGATTTTATGGAATTAGTGTCTTTTTTGTTACTACTTTTTGCTTTTGTCTCTCATTTAGTGAGCTTTCCCCTGATAGAAGCCTAATAATGTTACAAAATTGTATAGTAGAAACAGGCTGAAATTGAGAGCTTATTTGGGGCTCACAGTTTCAGAGGTCTCAGTCCGCAGATGGCCAACTCCACTATTCTGGGCCCCAAGGTGAGGCAGAACGTCATGGCAGAAGGATGTGGTGGAGGAAAGTAGTTCAGAACATAGCACCAGGGAGCAGGGGTGGGGTGGATGGGGGGAGCACTCTGCTCACCAAGGACAAAATATATACTTCAAAGGCACACCCTACCTGTCTAAAGTTATTACCCAGTTAATCCATTAGTTCAATTACATTAATATGTAGATTAGGTTAAGGTTTCCCCTAACCCAAACATTTCACCTCTGAACTTTCTTGCATTGTCTCACATGAGCTTTGGGGAACACATCATATCTAAGCCAAAACAAGGACCTTATGCTGCTCTCTCTTCTACTTCTCATTTGTAAGATAAAAATACAATTTATTTATTTTTTTCTTATTTGTGATCATGCAGATTGAACGAGGGCCTTATGCATGCTAGGCAGAGTGATCTACCACTGAGCTATATCCAAGTCCCAGTTATTAAGATTTAAGAGGGTACTCTCTGGTCCCTTTGGGTTTTGTCTCACTTAAGAGACAAATTCTTTAAAAAGGGCAAACTCTAAAGGAATGTAAAGTTACAGTAAGGCTCTTTAGCCAAAATATTAAAAGTCCATAGATTTTTTTTATCCTTCTATCCTCGTATCAAAAGGTCTACAAATGGTCCACACAGTTCCCGGAAAAAACTTCCAGCACTACATTGTTCTTGTCAGGTCTTTTGGTCTTAGCAACACAAAGCTGACTGAAACAGGCCTAGATGACAAAGCTATTACTTAGCAACAGAATCTGAACCCAGGTTTCTATGTAGTCATCTTTTCTTTAAACCCCAGCTCACTTCTTTGAAGCAGAGCTAACATGGATGACATCATACATGTAGAAAATGTATTTCAAGTGAAATAAGCCACTGGATTGGATAATATGAACTAATAGGTAATTTGGCAAAGACATACTATTAGTCGTCTTTCTAAACACTACATCCTATTATATTTATTACTAAGCTCGCTTGACATTCATGGATACTTATTATCCATAATGCTAGACTTTTTTTACATGAACTTTTATATAGAATAACTAATCATAATAAACTGTGACTTTATTTAAATCAGTTTCACAGGGGCTGGGGATATGGCTCAAGCGGTAGCATGCTCACCTGGCATGCACGGGGCGCTGGGTTCGATCCTCAGCACCACATAAAAATAAACTAAAGATGTTGTGTCCACCAAAAACTAATCAATCAATCAATCAGTTTCACAGCAATAAACTGAAGCAGGGATAAGTTACATACCTTCCCATTGTCCCAGCTAGGGTCTAGGGTAAGTAGTATACAAGCCTGTCAGTTCCTTAGCAGAGCTAGTGCCCATGTCCTCCTTATAGCATCCAAACTTGCATAAATGGAATATAGATATATAATTTTAATAGTTGCATAAGTTTTCAGTCTCTTAGTGCTGGACATGTAGGAAACTTTTAAATTTTTGCTATTTCAAACCATGAAGCCTCAAACATAGTTTTTGCACACTTATGCCCTTAAAGCAGAATTAATATTTCAGAAGAGCTTTGCATTAAGTATTGAAACACCATATTCTCTGTGTTTTCATTCTCCTAAATGAGTTGAATTGTCTCATCTGTTCTTCCCCGCTTGTGCATATTGCAACATAATGTGAGGGGCATTAAAAGGTAAAAAGGAAACTTAATGTGGCGGGTATTAAAAGGTAAAAAGGAAACTTCAAGGGCTGGGGCTGTAGCTCAGTGGTTGATCACTTGCCTCACATGTGTGAGGCACTGGGTTTGACCCTTGGCACCACATAAAAATAAATAAATAAAGGTCTTGTGTCCATCTACAACTAAAAAAAATATTTAAAAGGAAACTTCAACATCAAGCAGTGATTTCGAGAACTTGATAAATGCTAATGAATTATTCTAGTGTTGCAAGTAGTTAAAATGTTATTCACTGTTCCTACAGCTTGAGGTTTTTTTTTTTTTAACTTTTATTTTTATGTGGTGCTGAGGATCAAACCCAGTACCTCACATGTGCTAGGCAAGCACTATACCAACTGAACTATAGCCTCAGCCCCCTACAGCTTGAGTTTTGATAACCAATATTCCCAATGTATTTCAGATATTAAAAGCGAAATCTGACAATTCTTGGTTCAGGCAGGTGGCACTGGAAAAAGTGATCCCAGACCCCTTCTACAAGTCTGACAGAAGTGAAACTGTTTATAGCTTCAGTGTTTTGTTGTTGCTGGATTTGGTTTTGTTTGTTTTTGGTACTGGAGATTGAATCTAGGGCACTAACCACTGAACCATATCCCCAGTCCTTTATTTTTTTTAAATTTGAGACAGGGTCTCCCTAAATTGCTGAAGCTGGCTTTAAGCCTGGAATCCTCAGCCTCTTGAGTCTGGGATTACATGTGTGCACAACCATCCCATCTTAAGCTTTGATATGAGCATTTATTTCACTCAGTCAAGATACATAGCAAAAAGCTTATCTCTTTGTGCTTCCATGAGGACATACTGTGAAGAAAGCACTGATGAAACCTACCAAGGTCAAAAAGAAAGACCTTTCAAACACCTTGTCTAATCCTGTTACCTTCTCTCCACAAGATAGTAGGCATGGCATTCAGGTGCCTCAGTAGGTTATACCCAGGGTTTCTAATAGCTACAATTCCCTTGCCACCACCTGACATCTCCTCATTCATTGTCATGTTTGCTAACCTTCCCCAGAGTTGTTCTCTCCTTCTCCCAGGGCATTTTGTTTACCTGCTTCTAAACAAGTGTTACCATTTTATTAATCTGTCTCTTTACCATTAATCAAAGGTGGGAATTAAACCTTTCTTCTTTGTAGTCTTCCTCACATCTAGCTGGCAATTAGTCAAGTTTCCTAGCTTATTTATTTTGCAGAAAGTGCCCCAAAGTACTAGTTAATCCTTGCAGGTTCTTATGCCTTGCCTCTTAACAAAAATTCTGCTGTTCCTGATTATATCCATTTTACAAGTGATTTGTTTTTCCATCCAGGCAGCATAATTCGTTGTATGAGGCGCCTGGAAGAATTGCTTCGACAGATGTGTCAGGCAGCAAAAGCCATTGGAAATACTGAGCTGGAAAATAAATTTGCAGAAGGTCAGTATCCAGTTCATAAGCTTTTTCTAATAATTTAGGTAATTTTGAAGTGCTTTTTGTTAGATTGCCCTGGAGCACCAACTAATAGTGTTTCCATAAAATTTTAAAGGATTTATATGGTAAAGTTTGACTATATTTGTGTGTGTGTGTGTATATAAAACTATGTGTATATACACACACATACTCATTTACATGCATTTTTTTGGTGCATTTACTATGTGCCAGGTATATTTTAAGCACTAGGAGATATAGTAGTGAACAAAGATAGAAATCCCTGCCTTCCTAGACCTTTCCATTCTGGTGTGGGAGAGATGGACAGTAGAGTCAACAATTAAAATATATCAGATGGTCATAATCTACTGGAAAAGAAAAGAATTGGAGGATGGATGAGATGACCCAGAGTGACATTAAAGGCTCGTTATAATACTTGCTATGTTTAAGTAATAGCAAGAGGTTAGTGTGGCTGGTACAGTGAGCAGGGAGTAAAAATAGGGTTGGAAGGAGAAAAATAACGATTGTGTAGCTCCCAGCCCTGGTATTTTTACTGGATTTGAAGCACTGGGGTGGTGTGCTTTAACTGGGATTTTGTAATAATTCTCCTTGAGTCTGTAGGATAGCAGGGTGGGAATAGGAAGACCATATCAGGAAAGGCTGGCTTGGTAGGGGAGCCATATGAATCATGACCAAGAAAAGGCCATGAACTTAACGCATCAAAGAATGGCAGCCATGTTGTTACTCCTAGTCGATTTCTGCAAATAACTTTGGTGTTGAAAGAAAAGGTTTGTAAAAACTGGCTTAAGTTTCCACATGGATAGGGCCGGGCTAATTTAATCACTTTTTACAAATGAAGATTCTGAAAGCAGTATATTTCTATTTGTCCTACCTTAGTCCAGAAAGAATTTCACATGGTAACTGAATGTCTTTGGATGTGTAGGGTGAAGATTCCTGGTTTTGGATCAACTTCCTTTGACCTCTTAGTCCTTTCTGAAATGTCTTTAAGCATCCCCTCCCCCATTCCCCCAAATACACATAGGCTGGTTCCTCAGGTTTCTACCATATAGGTAGCTGTGAACTATACCGTATAGGTATCTTTTAGACTAGCAAGATTATGTTTACTTTCTGGGTTGCTCTCTCACCAATTTAATCTGGATATTGTACTGTCATTAAAATCGTCAGTAAATTAGAAAGAAGTTTTGTGTTTTGTGGTCTTGAAAGTTTTAACCTTTTCTTTTCTCTTCTCTTAGGAATCACCAAAATCAAGAGAGATATTGTGTTTGCTGCTAGCCTCTACTTATAAGGAGCTTAAAGAATGTAATTTTAAAGATTATTTACCACCTGTCTGATTATAGTTGACTACAAATGCTTAAAAGTGTTGACGTAATTCTTCCATCTCAACAGTTGTCCTCAAACATTTTAATATATATTTAAATCAAACATTCTAAGAAAGCATATTACATACACATGTGTACATAAGCATTACTTTTTTAATAAAAATTGTACAGGTGGGGCATTGTTTTAGTGGAAGGCTTGAAAATTTTTTAATGAACTTAGAGCTATTGGGTAATCATTTTGTTAAATGGAACTATATACACAGATAAAGTGGGCATCGAAGAGGTATAGCAGCAGTAGCAGCAGTCCCTTAAAGGCCTGTACACTGGGAAGAAAGATGCATCCTCGTGCCTTCTGGTTGCAATCATTTTCCTTTAGAAAGTAGGCCAGCTTCATCTGGGTGACCTGCCACCCTTCAAGGTTGGTGATTGTTCCCAAAGTGATTTCCTGTTGGTGTTTCATTCAAAGTTGTATGAGAGTCCTCCTGTTTTCTTTCTTTAAAAGGAGAATTCCTCTCCTTGAAGAAATCTGATACATATACAGCCTACAGAGAGAACAGGTTATACTTAGAACAGGGCAAAATATTTAATGATATAATTTACAAAAATTTATAAACCATATACCAAGCTGCAGGAAGCAATTTGCAGAGATAAATATAAACAAAAGGATATTCATCAGATGGTATACATTCAAGGGGAACATTGTTATGCCTTTGGCAAATAGTTTCATTCTACAAATACTTAGTGAATTAGTCTTCATGTAAATTAATTGTTTTAATTCATACCAAAAAGAAAACTGGTTTATAGCCAGAGGCTTTTACAGTAAAAATTCTAAGATTTGTATGACTTTTGCAAAGAGTTACTAATTTTTACCTGCTGTCTATCCTATCATGACTTAACACCACTGGGGTTCTTGCCCACTAGGAGTTACTGAGCCACACTCCACCTGTTATAGTTTTTTCAGTGAGGAATTTCTTTTGTCTATTTATATATCCAAATTAACTTAGCAGTATCAAAATGTAGTCTGCTGCCCTGTATACTTACAACTAATATTGCAACCACCGCTCCTTGAATGAGTCCAGTCAACACATCACTCCAGTGGTGTTTGTAATCAGAAACTCGAGAAAGGCCCACATAAATGGATACAGCAACAAGACCAAATTGCAGTGTGGGACGTAAGAGTCTTGCCCAATCTCCCTTCATCCTGGCTTGAAGATAAATCTGGTAGGAAAGAAAACAAAATATTTAACATGCCAACTAAAAATTGTACTTGATTATCACAACATCTCTAAAGATGTGGCATTTAAAATGATTATCAAAATTACATATGGAATAAGACTTCAGGCAAACATTCTTGTACTCATTAATACCTAAAAATTCTTTGAAACAAAAACTATTCTTATGCCAATAACTTGTGTTTAGAAGAATTTATAGCCTATTTAGCTACACTATCCTTCAAATGGGAAATAAAGCAAGAGTTGTTTATGACTTTTAAGACAGGATCTCAGGGCACCTTTTCCCCTTATAGTTGGGCTTGTAATTCTAATGGGCAAAGGCAATGCTGTTATTAGTTCTGAATCTTGGGATAAACCACTAGCATTTCTGTGCACACCTTGCCCTTGCCCTGGGCCAGACTACTATGTTTTCTGTCTGGCCTCTCTAGGCATAATTTACCACTTTAATTGAGAGCTCTGCTAGCCTCAAACCATATCACAGGGCAAAGAAGACTAAATCATCTGTATAAGTAAATATGATAATCTTCCCAGATAAGTAATGCAGGGTGTGATTTAGTCATGATCCAGCAAAGGAATATTTTCTTTCAGTAGCACCCAGTGTACACCTCTTAGACCTCTTGAGACCTCCTTTCCCATATCTGCCTGTCTTTGACTTTGGTTGCATCAGTATCTAAAGAAATTAATACAGAAAGAACTCTAGTGAATCTGCTCTCATTTAGAAGAAAAAAAAAAACTTTTCATTTAAAAAATTCTGTTCAATAGTTTATTGATTCACTAAATGCTTTCCTCAGAAAACAATTTACATGGCTCTGTTCACTGATGCTGCCTGTTCGATACATAAATCCATTCCCCATTTCTTGGGCACTGCTTTGGGTGTTCAGTTCTCAACACTGGCAAAGACCCAGAGGTCTAATTTTATCAAGTGTATACTATAAACATCTGGTACGCTTGAGCCTAACTCATTAGCTAATGTAAGTGTTACTACTGGCTTTCTACAGAGCCTCACCTCCCATCTTTAAATGATTAAAATTCAAACTGAAATAAGTAGTAAGAAGATTCATCTAAAGATTTTGAAAAACATCATTTTATGGAAAAAAGTTCCTTGACTGTAGCTAAAAGCCATGTTTTGGATATTAACTGTCAGAAAGTTAAGCTGTCACCAATAAGGCATTCAGACAATAAAACACCCTGGAATTACACTTATCAATACAAACATCTTACCAGTATCCATCTCTGCTAAAAACAAGGCAAGAAAACAACTCTAAAATGGGCTTAAACTTGTCCCATTTTGTACTTTCTACCTAAGGGAAAACAAGAGACAGGCATTTTGAGATCTTTACTGAGGATTCCAAAAATCCCTCTAAACAATATTTTCCTTCCAATGAATCCTGACTTTGACTCTTAAGTATCGTGGAGACATATGTTAACTGTTATTTTGCCCAAACTGCTTCACTAACATCCCAGGGGAAAGAATAATTCACTATGGATCAATAATCAAATAAGCTCCAAAACATTTGAGGTGAAACCTTTACCCTAAAGTAGCTGATTTTTCTCCTTATAAATCTACGTTAAGTGTAGCTGTTTCCCCATCAGTCAAACATTAACTGTGGACCCAGAAATTATTTCACTCTGAGGAGATTTTCACATCACCAATTAGGGTTCTAACCTTAGATTCTAGATTCTGGCTCCTCTAGTGACCAGTGGCCATCACTTGAGTGCAGTGTATGGACACAATAACTATTTGTGCACTGTGTAACCTGGCCAGGGCACTCAGTATAAGCCTGCAAAAAAGGCAGGCACATGGTAGAGCCCTTTTCTTCCCTGTGAAGATCCATATATTTCAGTTGAGCTTGAGGAAATAACATCAGGAGTTTCCTAGACCAACTTTCAGAGTTATTATAATAACTCCAGACACTTCTCCCCTCTGGACCAAAAGTCTCCTATACAGCACACAGTGATAGTGGCTCCACTTCTTAACCATTTTGGGGCGGCTATAGTGCAAACCTTAAGATCCCAGCCTCTACAGACAATATGCATATGGCTTTCTCTGCCACTTACTTTCCAAAATTGTTCCCTTTTGCCTACCATGATACTTCCCATTCCTTGAATTTATAACTTTTTTATAAAGTTATGACTTTAAAAATTCTACTCCTTGCCTTTGGGGTTTCTTGACAGAGGAAATGAAAGTCTGTGGTCAGTCTGCTATTTTTGTCCTGAAGTTCCCAAACACATCACACTAGTGCTTCCTCCCCAGAGTAAAGAACATGACTACTAACAAGTGGCCAGACCATAGGCGTGCTTTGGATGCCGATAGTGTCATTCTACGTTGCCGGTGATTTGGGGCAAAGCAAGTACCAGTATGACTCCTTTAAAAGGAAGTCTCCATTCCTCCATATTTCCCCAACTGCTACAAAGAAACTGAAAGTCTGAAGCTTCTCAGCACTCTTAGCTCTCAGAACTAGAAAGAGGGACAGAGCTCATGCTTTAAATGTCTAACAATAAAATGATGCACTAGGTCCCTGATTTGCAAATTCATTGCTTCCCCCCCCCTCCATGCATGCCATTTGCTAATGATACACACACTGAGCCTATCAAGGGTAAGGCATTTGGTTGCTCACCTCAAGAGCTGTAAGAATTCAGGTCCACAACAGATATTATGTGTGGTCCCAGCCAGGCTCAGCAGCAGTGTCTGTTACTTTCAGATTTCCACACAGGCAGTTGAAGGGGTGAGCCCTATTTGGACACCACCACCCTGCCTTCTCTTCTAGGAAGGCAATGACTAGAAGACTTAAATCAGGCCTCACTCAGATGTCCTGGGCCATTTCTCCCTCAGGACTCCTACTGGAATTATGAAGTAGTTCTCTATTTTCAGAAGTTGTAGAAAGGGCACCTAATGGGTAATATAATAGTTTTTTTGCAAACTAAATTTCTGAGGAAGCAAAAAGCTACAGTTAGGTAAGAGAAAGAATGAAGGAGAATGGCAGCCACACTGAAAACTCAAAGTGGCCCTTAAGACACACAGAGAAGGTAGGTCCTATCTTCACTATAAACCCCTTTTAGGAGGTCTGAGTGCTACTTAGAACCAAAAGAAAGTCAATTAAGAGCCTCCCTGGTGTGTGTAACCAAATTTCTGGTTTTTAAATTTTGGATTTCTAGGATTCAAATAATACAGTTTTACTTCTAAGACATAAATTGAGAGGGGAAATGGCCTGTTTATATACCTGGGTTCGAACAGTGAGAAAAACAGAAAATAAAATCCCTTCAGTTGCAAACATACTCAGTGTCCACTGAAGGCATCACTACAAGGTTCACTCCTGGGACTTTTCCTACAGACAGTGCAAGGGTGTAACTCCTAGGCCAAATGAGATGGGGACAACTAGAAAGAAAGGGGGATATAGAAGCAACACCCTGCAGTTCTTTAAGGAGGGCTCCTCAGAGGCAAAGGCAATGTGCTGCTGCAGGCTCCAGGCAGCCTGCTGCAGACCAGCAAAGCAAGCAAGGCAGATGGCAAGCAGAATCCACTCATGGCGAGGATGATGTTTTAACTAGGGCATTCCACAATACTAAAGTCAGAAAGAACTTCCCAGCTGAGGTAAAGAGGCAGTGCTGGAAAAAGAGAGCCTAGTCCAGGAAGCCATGCTGACGGGGATCTATATTTTAAAGGAGGAAGCAAAGGGAATTAACCCAACAGTTAGCCTGGGACAGGGAGAATGGTTTGGAGAGACTCTCCAGACAGCTGCCCAGACCTTGCTCTGGAAAGAATGATTCCCTCTATTACCTACCCCTGCTCACAAATTTGAACACTGTCCTATTTACAAAAGGAACACCCCCAGCCTTCCACTGCTGTCAACTGCTGACAGGAATAACAACTCTAGGACAACTGGAAAGAGATGTGTGGGTTTCCAGGACACACAGCCAGGCTAAAGAATTATAACATATACTTCACTAACCTACACACACACACACACCATTCTCATCTATACAAATACCTCAGGAGTCTGTGATACACGTGAGTCAACCTCAGGACCTCAGAAGGAAACTGCTGCTAGTTCTCTGGTTTTTGTTTTTGGTTTTTTTTTTTTTTTTCTCCTCTTTATCCCTTTATGAGGAGAAATTCGTGTGAACCCTTCCAGACTGTGACTCTAAGAAAGAGCTCAGCAAAAACAAGTAGTACCACTGAGTACACAGCCCAGATTTTTGCTCAAAGAAAGAGCTCAGCAAAAACAAGTAGTACCACTGAGTACACAGCCCAGATTTAGAAAGCAAAACTACTTTGAGATTGACCTTAGAAATCGACCAGTATCCTCCAACATTGCCCTCAGTAAAACCAGGCATCACTACTGGCCCCTCTGAAAAGGAAGGTTCCAGGTATGGCTTATGCCTCCAAGAAGAGGAAAATGAGCAAAAGTCAGGCTCCTGAGCCACTCTTCCCAGAAGAGGTCCTGGTCAGAAAACCCAGCTGTGGGATCAAGTGTTCTGTCTCCTAGCAAAGTCAAGCTCTCCTCCACATAGCATGCAGACAAGCTGCTTTCTCCACTGAGTTTAAAGAAATAATTAGTTCTTAGCTGGGACATTACTAAAGATTTATACAGGCAATTCTTATTCTTCAGAGGAGTAAGGACAGAAAACATCAATTTGCTCAAAATAACCAGATTTTGTAATCTAGAGGTGTAGGAAGCTGGCATTCCACCAGTAGGTGGCAGATGCTTCACTTCTCTGAAAAGTGCCGAGGCCTTCCTCCTGATCCAAACTGATCAACATTGTGGCTCCTCTTCATGAAGACCCCCAAAGTCACTTAACAAAAGTACACAAAGACCTGGTCAAAGTAAATGGTGCTGATTCCACTGCACAGGGAGGGCTATATTAAAAAAAAAGAAAAAGAAAAGAAAGAAGTAGTAGTAGTAGTAGTAGTATACACACTCTTTCCGTTATGTAAACAACATGCATTTTTCCTTTATATAAAAAAAGTGTTTTTAAAATAAAAAAAAAATCAACATCTGTAGCACTACTTGAGTATTCTTTCATTATTTTACTATCATTAAGGGTTATGCGATCTTCATGTTTTTGTTCCCCCAAATTCATATATTGAAATCCTAACCCCCAAGGTGCTAATATTTAGGAGGTGGTGCCTCAGTAGGTGAAGAGATCATGGGGGAAGACCCCTTGTTATGGGTTTAGTGCTTTTCCTTACAAGGGACCCCTGGCTCTTTTAAGAAAGTTCCCTGGCTACTTCCACAGTGAGGATCCAGTAAAGTTGGCAGCTTACAGGCAAGAGAAAGGTGCTCACCAGAACTTGAGCATGTTAGACCCAGCTCTCAGACCTCCAAGCTCCAGAACTCTGAGAAACACACTTCTAGTTTATAAGCCATTTAGTCTATGGTAATTTATTATAGTAGCCCAAACTAAAACATAGGATATAACCATTTTTGGTTAAAATTTCTGAAACAACATTTAACTTCCATTAAAGGGCTAATTATAGCTCACTTAAAATCAATCTGTTGAACTATATATTTTTTGAAGCTGATTAATTTTGATTTTTTCCTCTCCTTGACTAACCTTGTTAATACTTCTTAAAATACTCCATTCTTAAAAATAAGTAGGATTTGTTCCCCTCCCCACTTTTAAACTAGAGTCAAGGAGTCAGCTTACAAGCTAAGAATGGTTTCATATTTTTAAAGCATTATTTTGGGGCTGGTGATGTACCTCAGTGGTAGAGCACTTGTCTAATATGTGCAAGACCCTGAGTTTGAGGCCCCAGCACCACACACAAACAAAACATTTTTTAAAAGAACAAACAAAAACATTTTTTAAAAGCTTAAATATGTTAACTGATCTTTTACTGAAAACTTTTGTTAATCCCTGAACCAGACTAACAGCATGCTCAACACCAAGAAATAGAACTCTTATCTACTTATTTTTGAAACACCACTTCTAAGACCTAGTCAAGAAAACTAACAACTGTAGCCAGGAGACTACTGTAAGGTAGGCCTCACCTTAGCCTTCTCTGGCTTTGATTTTATCATCTTTGGGATTTATGGAGTTCCTAAATTTAGACTTGAAACCCACCTCAGGCAGGTCTTGAGGTGTGTGGGCCATAAATTGTCCATCACATTCCCAATCCTTAGTATTCCATAGTTTGGGAAACATCTTCATCAAATATCAACAGTACTAGGTGGTACAGGGTCAGTGCTAAATGAAGGACAGTACAAATTTGGGGAAAGTGAGTGGTTTGAAAGAGTCAGGAAGTCTTACATAGGTCGGTGGCAGTGTCTAAACACTGGGAGGCTGAATAAGAAACTCTCTGAGCAGGGAGGAGAGTGGCTAGAGCATAGTACAGCTACTAACAGCAGTGATAAAAACAATCTGGAGCTTCAGCCTCAACCGGATGGTACCAGAAACCATTCTTATCCCATTTGCTCCTCTCCTGAATAATCACGTAAATCTGGAATCTCTGACATTCAACCAAATTCAAGGGGGATCACTAAGCCCATGAAGGCCACATGCAAAGCAGCCCTGCCCTGATCTCCAGCCAGCCATGTGCTTTTCACAGACTCCCTGGCACTGTGAAGTGCACAGGATTAGGTTTCCTGCCAGAGCAGAACAATGGCCAGGATATTTAACTTATAAGACAATTTTAACTAGAAGTTCATTCCTGGGTGTCAGGAATTCTTGCAGATTTAAATGACTGTACATCTCCACCCATTCTGGGCCTGACCCATAATGCCAAGATGCCTAGGGAAACAAGATGAGTCACTGCCTTAGGAATTTGGGGGAGAAGAGAGGTTAAATGTTGTATATAAATAGGAAAGCAAGGAGATAGCTGTATATTCAGGGCCAAAATAAAAAATGGGGCCTATATCCTAATCAAGTAAATATTTCCACCATCCAGAGTCAGTGAAATGCAGTGCATGATTACTCTCAGGCCTTGGTCTCTAACAAATCTGGCTTTTTTTTCTCATTATAATTTCATCTAAATGCTCGCACTGACCCAATTACTAAATTGTGGTTGAGGTCATTTTCCCTGCGCATACAGCCCTAAACTGTCTCCTCATATGCTGCTGCATATCCACAGAGCAAGCCTGCCAATTGAGGCTCTCTTTGCACACATTTTATCCTCTCTGCATGAATTTCAGATTTCACAACTCCATACAAGTTTCTGTTTGGATACACAGATTTCACAGATGTTCTGAGAAGGGCCAAGGAAGGAGAGCAGAAAAAATGATAAATGAAATATGCATCAAAATGTTCAAGATTAAAAACAGTGGTCAGTCACCATTTTACTTCAAGATCTGCCTCACCTAACCTTCAAATTAAGTGGGCAAGGGTTCAGATCAAGGAAGCAATCAAATAAGGGCCACCTAGTCAAGAGATGCCCAGAGAGCTCACAGACCTCAGCAGTCCCTTTCCAAGGCCTCTGCTCCCCATCTGTAAAACTGGCAATTGCTCATTTCTATTCTTCATGGAGATTATTAGAAAAAGTCAAAAGTAAAATTAGCATAGCTAGGCATGGTGGCACATAACCTATAATCCCTGTGACTCAGAAGGCTGAGGCTTTCAACTCTGAGCCAGGCTGGGCAACTCAACAAAACCCTGTCCCATTTTTTTTTTTTTTTTTTTTTTTTTAATTATAAAGGGCTGGGTATGTAGCTCGATGGTAAGCGCCCCTGGGTTTAACATCCAGTACCACACACAAAAAGGTAAAAACAGTGTTAAATGCAAATCATCATCAATATCAACCAAAACTAGATTCCTAGGTCTCATACAGAAGGACTGAGATGGCAGCACACGTAGGTGAGTGAATAACTAACAAAAGTCACTCTGGCAGACCTAGCTGTGGGGTGGATGCACCCACCCTTAAAATGTCATTCAGTAGAATCACAAATCTATGTTTGGGGGAAAGTTCTCAGGCTCTTAATGGCTCTTACCACTGTCCAGCCTCCACCTTCTCCCCTAGTGCCCGATTTAAAAAGCAAAACATGTTGCTTCCATTTGGAAAGAATGCTGATTTTCCCTAATAAGATAAAAGGGGATGTCAGAATACTATTTGCTATTAACTGCCTTGAAATAAGTCAAATTTTCCATGGCAGGTCTACAGAAACATTTGGGTATGTATCTTTAAAAAAAAAAAAAAGCACTAAATTCTGTTGAATTTGTACCTTGTTGCTTTCTCACAAAACTAAATTAACATAGGATGAAAGTTGCACAGTTTCCAGAAATATTGGAAAAGCCAAAACTCTGTAATGGTTTGAGTTGTGTGTTTGAATTTTATATAACACCTGAAATTTACATTCTTTTCATTGTGGGAATTTGGTTTTTTCAAATAAAAGCAAGATTCTAGTAAAGTTAACTTTAAATTCTGAGACCAAATTAACTCTCATCAGTCTATCCTTAATATTACACAGCATGGATTTTTTTTTTTTTTAGTATTTTTCTTTTAGTTGGACACAATACCTTTATTTTATTTATTTATTTTCATGTGGTGCTGAGGATCAAACTCAGCATCTTACACTTGCCAGGCAAGCACTCTATCACTGAGTCACAACCCCAGGCCCACACAGCATGGATTTTTAATCTAAGTCTTAAATACTTACACAGCACTAAATGTAATCAAAGGAAAAACCAAGGGATCTGCAAATTTGCACAGAATACAACTATATAAAAAACCAGTTACAAAGAAAATTAAGAAAAAAATTATAGTTGATCTATTAAGACAGAAATCTTATCCCTTTCCCCCTAAATGTTGACAATACACTATACAGTTTTATATATATATATATACACACACACACACACACACACACACATATATACACATATATACACATACACACATATATATATATATATATACACACACATTTATATGTATATGTAGAGAAAGAACATAATAAAATATAAAAATAAATTTAAATTGACTTTTAAAGATCCCCTGAAATATGTCCTAGAGTTTGGTCTTCTATTAATTACTCTCCAAAAAAAAACCTTATGTATTAATCTCTAACTTGATAAGCAAACTATGGGTGCATATCTTTTCTAACTCCTCACTGCCAAGCTAGTAAAATGCATCAGCAAACTATGTGCTGTTCAAAAGCCTAGCAGTCAGACTCGGACCTGGAAGTCGAGCAAATGACCACTTCCAGAAGTGGAAGCCTCTCTGGTCCAGTGGAAAGCAGTTTGGGAAATGTTTCAGAATATGAAAGAAAAACAAAACCTGCTCAAACAGGAGCAACAACAGCTGCCCTCACTTACAATAAGCAGGATTCAGCTCACCAGAGCAGGCCCTGGGCATAGCAAAGAGGCTGCTGAACGCCCACAATGAGCAATGGGGAGCCTGCTCCCAATTAGGGTGCCCGGGACTCTGGATCAGTGACCTCTATGAGTACACAGAAGACATCTGTGTGTTCCAGAAAATGTCCCAATGACGGGTATCCCATCAGTTCATTCTTAGCAGGAGACTTAAAGATTTGATGGTCTGTTTGGCTTTTGCCACTTGCAACCCAAGAGCAGACACTTAGGAGAATCAAGCATCCCACGCATCACATCCCCAACCATCAGCAGACATGAGGTACTTACTGCCAGGAACAGCATGCAGTACATGGAGAACGAGGAGTGGCCGGAATAGAAGGACAACCTAGAAGAGAAACAAGAGAGACATTCATTTTTCTCCCTGAGGCAGAGCCTACTTTTGGAGGGCCTGCATATATGCTGGTGGTGAACTCATTTTGTTTTGCAGTTCTTTTCTTTCTTCAGTGCAGAAGATCAAACCCAGGGCCTCGTGTACACTAGACAAGCACTCTACCACTACCTGATCTCATAAATCTCCTTCCCTTCAGAGGGCACAAAGCTCCCTCCTCCTACCTTCAGAAATTAGAAGGATGAGGGTGGAGACGCAATTAAGACAGGAACTGTCAAGGTGTCCAAAGAGGACATGAGGTCAGATTCATATGTGGGATCATTTTATTGAAACCCAAGATGGGTGATGAATCATTGTGACCAAACTCGCCAGGCATTTCTGTAGCTGTTGGAGGAGCGATACTGACAAGCTGTAACTGGCACAAAGGGCTTTGACCTGACTGCATAAAAATCCATATGACTGTGATTTAGGTTTTCCATTTGCAGGGTTTGTACCTGAATAAGGTAATGCCTCCTTTGGGACACTTGGAAGTTTATCCCTTTTCTCTATCCATATTAATAATTTTGTGTTTTAAGTGAACACACATCTTGCCTTAGATTTCCCACAATATGAAATGCTTTTGACATTTATTTTTAAATTGTGCTCTGATCATTCTGTACCAAATGAACATCTTTTAATATTATAATCTATAAACATCTGAGTATCATTTTCCCACCTAAAAATGATAGTGATGGCAAATTTTAATTTTATAGCACTTCTGAAAAAGAAAGATAAAGCTTACTAATATTCAAGATCTAAATCATGCTCTCAAAGAATTACCTACTGATGCAAGAAGACAAGCACACTCTAGATACAACCTACACATGAAAAGATACCCATACAAATAATTATGATGTTTCTCCTGACTGCTTTTCCCCTATACAAAAATAAGAACAAAGGTATTTTACTTATTCAAAAGGAATTTAAAGCCTATGTAGGTTCCTGGGATTCAGAAAGAAAGAGAGACTCCTAAAACCCAAAACAGAGAGTGATGTGTGTAAATCTGGCCACAGAAGATGGGAGAGAAAGTAAAGATTTCTTAAACATATATTGAGAATGATTCTATCAAGAATTTGCTTTTCCCACCCAAAATTTTGATTGTCATATACATTCCTAAGAGAATCTTCTAATGTCCTGTGCTACCTAGGAATTATATAACTAAACCTGCTAACTGTTCTGGTTTTAATCTAGGTAAAACAGATAAATAAAGCACTGCTTAGCTTTACTGTTTGGCCACACAGAGTGTGTAGAGTACTGTTTGGCCACATAGAATGGGTAGAGCAGAGTTCTGTACATTTTATAGTTAGTTTCAATAAACTGAATAGCCTACATATTAAAAAAGACAATTTTAGGGACTGTCAAGGCCCATCGAGTGAATGTAACTATGATGACAGAAACAGGCTCAAAGTCAAGCCATTTCATTTCACTAAATCCTATACCTTGTACCATGAAATCACAAACTGGAAACTTTAGTAGTTTAAACAGCTCTCAATCCACAACAGAGCAATTTCATAGGATGAAAATGAAATAGTTGAATCAAGAAGTCTGCCCATGACTTCAACAGGGATTAAAAAAAGAAAGAACTACTCATTATCACTTTGTAAATCTTTACACACAGTAACTTATCAAACAGATCATGGTAATATGAACTTTTACTTCTGTTAAAAAGAAAACAGACCCACAGAAGACATAAATTCAAATTATTCATATTCCATACAAATCTAGTTCTACTGGAATCTCAAGGAAATGCATTTGCTCCTACAGATATCTTATCATATCCATAATCCACAAATGAACTAAATATTTGTATAGAGCCCGGTGTGGTGGCGCACACCCATGATCCCAGTGGCTCAGGAGGCTGGGGGGAGGAGGCTTGTGAGTTCAAAGCCAGCCTCAGCAACTTAGTGAGGCCCTAAGTAACTCAGCAAGATCCTGTCTCTAAATAAAATGTAAGAAAAGGCTAGGGATGTGGCTCAGTGGTTAAGCACCCCTGGGTTCAATCCCCAATGCCTGCCTCCCAAAAAAATTGTATGGGTAAATTAATAAAATCCAAAAATAAGTCCAAATGCTTGTGTCTGCTTCACAGTGATCTCAGCTGAAATGTTTAAGACTTTGTCCCTAGCTAAAGATCCTTCCCTTGGGAATTTTAACCAGTCCCATCTCACTTCATAACTGCCCCAGTGATGAAGAAAAAGTAACAATTAAAGCTAACTGTCATCAAATCTTAGGAAAATGTTTTCAGAGGGAAAAATGTATTTTCAAATGCTGCTGTTTTCACCAACTCTAGGGAATGGTCTGTTAAACATTAAGGAACCTTCAATTAGTAAGTACATTCTTTGGTCTTGATTATGTAACTTACTCTGAATGAAGTCTTTTTACAAATGGCAGATTTAAGATTTCCCCCTCTTCCTTCATTATCCAGGGTACCCCCTTCTTCTTGAAAAGGTGATTAAACTCAGTCTGAACCTCAATATCATAGCCATCACCCCAACCTTATATCTGAGTTCCCACTGGATTCAGCCATACTGCCACCTCTGTACTCCCAACATCTACATCCATATTTGGTCTTAAAATCTGCAAAGACAATCAAATCCAGCCTTTATCAGTCATCAGAAACAATTAGCTCATATGAACCATTTCTTAAGCGTTTTGGGGCTCATGAGGTTAAATCACAAGGAACCCAGCCAATCATCCCTGGGCTCTTCCCTCACTAACAGACTTTCTTCCTTCTTTCCTCCCCATTCTCCAGAGTTTAAAAGCACTGTAAAACACAATTTTAACTATCCTTTTACTTTGGAAGTATCTTTATATCTTTGTGGGAGGAGCAGTACTGGGGGGTTGGACCTAGGACCTCATGCATGCTAAGCAAGCTTTCTACCATGGAGCTACATCTCCAGCCCTCGCTTACATTTTTTTTCTTTTTTTTTGTACCAGGGATCGAACCCAGGGGCACTTACTACTGAGCTACATCCCCAGCCCTCTTTTTATTTTCTAATATATTTTATTTAGAGACAGGTTCTCGCTGAGTTACTTAGGGCCTTGCTAAGTTGCTGAGGCTGGCTTTGACACTCAAGATCCTCTGGGCCTCAGCCTGCTGAGGGGATTACATGTGCGCACAAGCATGCTGGGCGCATTCATTCTGGAATAATTTTTTTTTTTAATACAGAATTCTAGGTTAATGATTTTCTTCCTCGTGACTCTGAGGATATCATTACATTATCTATGGCTTCTGCTTTTGCTGTTAAAATATAAGCCTCTGTGCCTTTCCTTTCTGTATTCTGTCTTCTCTCTTTCATTGCTCCCCACTGCCCCCCATGCCCAAGTCTTCAATAGTCTACAACTATCATATATCAAGTAGGGACTTCTTTTTATTTACCTGGTTTGGTACTTATTGGCTTCCTATATCTGAGTATTTATACTCTTCACCAATTTTGTAAAGTTCCCAGCCACTTGGAATACTGCATATCCTCTATCCTACTATCTTTTTGCGAGTTTCTGAATGACCTTGTAATCTACCTTCTTATTGTATCCCTCTGTCTTAACCTTCCTTCTGTATTTCTGATCTTACCTTTTTAGGTCTACCTTTCACTTCAGTTTTCCCTTTCACTGTGTCTAATCAATCTGTTCCATTTTTAAAATTTAAATTACTAGATATGTTTCATTTACATATCTCTTTGGTTTTTTTCAAATCTATCTGATCAATCCTATTAACATATTTTCAAGCTCCCCTTAGTCTACACAGCAGACATATTTATATTCTACATGGTAATTCTAGTATCTGCAATCTTTGAGTTTATGTAACTTGTTATATTTGCTGACTCTCACTTAAGGTAGCTTGTTTCTATGTATGTTCATTATATTAAAATATGTGTTCATGTCCTTGGGACTCCATCATTGGGGAATCTCAGAGATCCTGGTTTAAAGAGAATTCTTCCAAGAGAGACTTGTATCAACTTGTGCTGTGTTCACTATAGATCCACTTTGACCTTCAAACTTTTTTTCTTAAAAAAAGACGTACAGGTAGCATGAATTCTGGCTCCAGACCAGTGAGTGTGACTGTGGTCTTGTGGTTAAGAATTCTTAATATCTCCCACGTGGAGGATACTGCCCTTTGGGAGTCCTTACATTATCCCTGTGCCTCCTGTATGTCTTCTTACTCTCCTCAGTCTGTCTTCATCACCTACACTTCATATTCACAGTCTACCAAACTTGGGTTCTAGGCTTTCAGAAAATGGCAGACAGGGCACACATTGGATCTTCAACACTAACTGATCCTGGCCTCGGGTCTCAGCTAAGCTATTTATACATTTATATGTATGTATGTCTATATGTGTGTATGATATATATAGATATAGGTATAATTTTTTAAAATAGGGTCTTGCTATGTTGTCCAGGGTGATCTTGAATCCTGAGCTCAAACATTCCTCCTTCCTCATCCTCCCAAGTAGTTGGGATTATGTGCAGGTGCCATTACACCAACTACCACACACACACACACACACACACACACACACACATACATATATTCACACGTATATATCGTATATATAATTTAAGAAACAGTGCATATGAATGTGGGGGGCATATTTTCTAGCATGTTTAGTTGAACAAGATCAGAAGGCATTTCTAACCCTCTATATCGCCAAAAATAGAAATAGGCTTTAAAAAAAAAAAGTAAAATGCTATCTAAAAACAATCATTTCAGTAGGTGACACAACAGTTTGACAAAATGTGATTTGTTTTTAATCATACAGTGGCCAATGCTCACAAATGCACAAATGTTTCCAATTACTGATATACTACCAACCCCTGGGTATGCCAAAGTTGGCTCTGATGCAAATTACAACTTCCTTTCCCCCTAAAAATTGTTCTAAAATTGATTACTTAAAGCAGTCCAATGCAGAAAAGTTGTCAAACCACATAAATTGTTATAGAGTCACCGAGTACATTCAGGTACA